GGAATAAATAGAAAATAATTCTTGGAGGAAGAGAGTCTTAGAAGAAGAGATAAATGTAGCTGAAAAGAGGAGAGCCTTCCAGGCAGGAAAGATGTGTGCAGGGTTCACAGGGGTTTGGACTGATCACTGTTGAACGACCCTTATGGGCAGAAATGGTCTCTCTTCCTCTGACTATAGTTATCTGGCTCTCAGTCCATCCCCCTCCCACCCAAGGAAAAAGATCTTTGAATTTCCCTGGGGATATGAGGGACTCTTAGCTTCCAACTCCCCTCTCTTCCTTAACTCTCTCTTTGCCACGTTGAAAATTTATACAGTTTAATTAATTTTGACAGATGCATACCCTTGGGAAACCATGATCACAATCAAACTATAGGATATGTCCGTGCTTGCATGCATGCATGCTAAGTCGCTTCAGTCCTGTCTGACTCTTTTTGGGACCCCATATACTGTAGGCCACCAGGCTCCTCTTTCCATGGGATTTCCCAAGCAAGAATACTGGAGTGGGTTGCCACGCCTTCCTCCAGTGGATCTTCCTGATCCAGGGGTCAAACCCGTGTCTCTTATGTCTCCTGCACTGGCAGGCGGGTTCTTTACCACTAGCACCACCTGGGAAGCCCAGGACATGTCCAGGCTCCCCTAAAAGTTTCCTTAGACATATTTGCAGAACATCTTTCCCTCTGTCCCTCACCCCACGGAACCACTGACCTCTTTTCTGTCACTGTAGGGAAGTTTACATTTTCCAAAATTCTGTATAAATAGAGTTGTATGATATATTCTTTTTTGTGTCTGCCTTTTTTCATTAAGATAATCTATTTTGAGATTCATCCATCTTATTGGCATATCAAAATTTTTACTTTTTAAATTGCTGAGTAGTATTCCATTGTATGAGTACCTGACATTTTATCTGTTTCCTTGTTGAGAGACATTTAAGTTGCTTTCTCTTTGGGGCTATTATGATTAAAGCTGCTGTGAATATTCATGTACAAACTTCCATGTTTGCTTTAATTCTCTTGGATAAACAGGAGTTCAATGATTTGACCAAATGACAGGTGTATGTTTAACATTTAAAAAAATTGCTACATTCTTTATCAAAGTGACTGTACCATTTTACATCCCCAGTAGTATTATAGAAGAGTTCCAGTTAATCCACATCCTTGTCAATGGTTCATACGGTCAGTCTTTTAAAATTTTTTCCTATTCTAATGGGTGTGTAATGGTATACCATTATGATTTTAATTACCAACAATTAATGATGTGGAGCATTTTTATGTGGTTATTGGCCATTCATAACCTTCTTTCATGAAATGCTGCCACAGTTTTTGACCATTTTAAAATTGCATTCTTCGTATTTTTATTATTGATTTGTACATGTTCTTTATATTATCTGAGTATAAGTCCTTTGCTATATATGTGTGCTACAAATATTTTTCCTGTACGGTGGCATAACTTTTCATTTTTAAAAACAGTATCAGTTTAAAAACAGTTTAAAGACAGCTTAAAGAGGAGCATATAAAATTTTTAATTAACCCCAAACTATTAACTTTTTGTTTTATCTTTTGTATATACTAAGAAATATTTTCATACCCTGAGATTGCAAAGTTTTTCTCCTGTGTTTTCTTTTAGAAACTGTATGGTTTAGGATTTTATATCTTAGTGCATAATCTTCCTCCTCTGATCTCTGAGATCCTTGGGTCCATGGGTCTTTCCTGGATCAGTAGCATCTCTCTGTATCTATAAGGGGAATAAACCTGAAGACCTAGCTGGCATCCCTTATATATAATGTATTCTTGCCCAAAGTGAATCTAACATATAATGAAAAGGACCTAGCTGGAGTCCATTATATATGATGCTGTGTACTTCATAATGTATCTCAGCAGGAGATATATAATATCAGATTATTTGACTAGTGGTGATGCTAAATTTGATCATGTGGTTAAAATGGTAACTTTCAGATATATGTTTTTCCTTTGCAGCTCCAAATAATTTGTGAGATGATACTATTTACCAGTATAATTTTTCATTTCTTTTCCCTTTTTTTGTTTTGGTTGCTTCATGCAGCATGTGGGATCTTAGCTCCCCATCCAGGGATCCAACCCATGGCTCTGCAATGGGAGTGTGGAGTCTTAACCACTGGGCCACCAGGGAAGTCACCAGAATACCCTTAAAATTATCATTAAAATTTCTTAGCTCTCTTAGAGAAACCAGCATCTACAGATAAACAGTAAGGATAATCATCAAAGAGTCAAATCTTGAATCCATAACTCTCCTAGGGAGGGCAGTTCAGCTAACTCTTGGCCATTTTAGCCCTTGACCTCTTCAAGTCTGCAACAGGAAGAAAGCACTCCATGCTTTACCTTCCCTGTCCTCCTTCCTCATGGCTGTTTAAGTAACCTGTAGCACTCAAATGAGCCAGTCGTTTCCACTCTAACGGTCCCTGAAGCTTACCCAGCTTTCCTTTCCCATATTGTTACTGACAGTAACCCTTTACTCCAGTGTTTTGGAGACTTCCCAGGGGAGTCTCTCATGCACTCGAGAACCTCTCTCTTGTTTTTCATCTCTGTCCCCACTTCTTTTTTTCTGTGACCACACTAGTCTATGCCAATGTCTCAGGGCTCCCAGACCTACAAATTTCCATGGTGCCAAAGATGCCCCATGCTTCCAGTCTTCCCAGGTTAAAGTCCTGCTGGTGAGGACTGCTATGTGAGGTGGAGAAGACCACGTGGGTAGGGCACTTTTCCCTGGATGCCAAGGTAGCACCTCTGTTTGCGTTCCTCTGCCTCACAGCATTGATTGTGAAATCACATCCTTCAGTTTCTGCTTCAGTCTCTAGAAGTAAGATTGTCATAAATATCCAGGATAGACACCTTGCTTTCTTCTCATCTCCCTGTTTCTCCAGGTGCCTGAGAAAAAACACCTTCCCTCTTCTTTTAGCCAAATCAGCTCCTGGCACTCCTGCCCACTTTTCTTCAGAGGAATGTGAAATTCATTTAGGCTCCAGATGGGACAGCCAGTCATATTATACATTACAGTAGCTAAGTAGGAGAGAATCACTCAGTGAAATTTCTAAATTTTCTTCTGTATGCTTGTGTGGCCATGAACCCATATAGCTGATGATATAATCAAGAATATATAATGTATTCTTGCCCAAAGTGAATCTAATCAAACTTTCAGAACAGCACTATNTAAATTTTCTTCTGTATGCTTGTGTGGCCATGAACCCATATAGCTGATGATATAATCAAGAATATATAATGTATTCTTGCCCAAAGTGAATCTAATCAAACTTTCAGAACAGCACTATTCAACAGAAGTATAATATGAGTCACATGCAGTTTTAACTTTTCTAGTAGCCACCAACAGGCAACAAAATAAAAAAATATAAATTGAACTATAGCCTAATTAAAAACTTCTATGTATCAAAGGATACAACCAACAGAATGAAAAGGCAACCACAGGATTGGAGAAAATATTTGCAAATCATATATCTGATAAGGGATTGATATACAGAATACATAAAGAACTACAACTCAATAACAACAAAAAAATAACTAGATTAAAAGTGGACAAAGAACTTGAAAATATATTTTTGGGGGTTTTCTTTAACTTTTTTTTGAAAATATATTTTTTCAAAGAAGATACACAACTGATTGATAATCACTGATGAATACATCACTAATCATTAGGGAAATGCATATCAAAACTTCAATGACCCCAGTACAAAATGTTTTTGGTGTTAAAAAAAAATTCAATGAGATCATACTGATTACAATGACTATTATTTTAAAAAATGGGAAATAAAAAGTGTTGGTAAGGATGTGTAGAAATTGAAACTATTGAAATTGAAACTATTGCTGATGAGAATGTAAATAGTGCAACCTCTGCAGAAAACAATATGGTAAATCCACAAAAAAATAAATAGAATTACCATAGGATCCAGCAATCTCACATCTGGATATATCCCCAAAAGAAATGAAAGCAAAGACTTGAACACTTATTTGTATATTCAATATTCATAGCAGCAGTAGTTAATATACTGCTGTCAAAAGGTAAAAGAAACCCAAGTGGACATCAATGGATGAATGAATAAACAAAATGTGATACATATGTTAAATGGAATATTATTCAGCTTTAAAAAGGAAGGAAATTCTTACATGTGCTACATTGTGGATGGACCTTGAAGACATTATGGTAAGTGAAATAAGCCAGACACAAAAGGACAAATATTGTATGATTCCACCTACATAGGGTACCTAGAATAGTCAAAGTGTGTAGAGACAGAGAAGAATGGTGGTTGCCAGGAGCTGGGGAGAAGAGGAATGAGGGGTTGTTGCCCAAAGGGAACAGTTCTGCTTTGGAAAGATGGATGGTGGTGATAGTTGCACAAAAATGTGAATGTACTTAATGCCACTGAAAGGTACAATTAACAGTGTTAAAATGGTAACTTTGATGGATGTTTTACCACAATAAAAATACAACAGATGACATTCTTGCAACAATTGGGGCTATTTGATATTATGGAATTATTATTAATTATCTTAGGTGTACTGATGGTTATATAGGACAATGTCCATATTCTTAGGTGATGAATTCTGACATATGTGGAGGATAAAGTTTCATGATACCTATGACTTATTTTCAAATGGTTCAAAACAAGAGAAAAAAAAACCCCAAATATATACACATGCATATACCATACATATAGATAAAGCAAATGTGACAAAACTTTAACAGTTGGTGAGTTAGGAGGAGTATATTCAGGCCCAGTACTCACTGTTCTATTCTGATAATTTTTCCTATACGTTTGAAAACATTCCAGGTATACAAGGAGGTGGGAGGGAGAAGGTGGCCAGGAAACCTCAGGAAATGACCAAATCCTGTTCCCCAAACAAAGCATGTAGTCTTCTTTCTCTTCTCCATAAAGTTCTTAAGGACAATATGTTCACTGGTAGCAATAACAAGGGAGCTTGTGTTTGAAAGCTACATTCTCCTCTCTCTGTTAGGAAGCCCAGGGCACAAGACACAGGCCAGAGGCTGACCTATGCCGCTCCTTCTCCTAAGCACAAACCCTAGTCTGGGGACCCTCTTCATGGGAAAAAACCCCAAATAGATGAATATACTGCAGCAGGTGCGGGAGAAAACAACTGCAAGCCAGACGGAATTTCTGGTGAGAGTAGCAGAGAGCGGGCCACCATCTTCGACTAAGCCACGCCCACTCAGTGTGCTAAGATTTCTCCGCCACATTGTCACCATCTCTTCTTGAGGTATCAAGGTGAGGGGCATGGGAGAGGTAAAAATAGCTTGAGATCCTTCTCTTCTCAGGGGTAAAGGATAGATGGATGGAGGTTCTTGGTCTGAAAGCCACTCTTCCATCCTGTATCTCTAGCATCATGAATGGTGTATAGGCCACTGTTTTCAGAGAAGTTGTGAAAAGAAGTTCCAGCTTGGAGAGGTCAGAATAAGGCAAGGAGGTATTTTCATTGCTTCCCCCGAAAGCTGTATCCAGCAACGAAGACCTCAGCCAGGAGAGGAGGCATATAGAGTTAAAATGCTTAGGAACTTGAGTGAGAATTATAAGCACCAATGATTACTTTTATTAAGGGTCAAAGAATCATGTGGTGTAACGTTAATAAAGGAAGTACAACTTTTGTGGAGGAATCTCTACCTTGCCTTTCCTAAAATGCTGCCTTTAGTTCTCTTTAACTTATGTTCCATAACCTGACAAAATAGAGGTTCAAACCATAGGTATAGTCAGGTTTTATAATTTGGAATACTGTGAAGACAAAGTAACTGAGTTCTCTTTGGTACAAATTACTGACATTGCTCCCAATTTAGCCACATATGTAAATGTTTTTAATAGGGATGAACTTGGGGAAGGAATAAGGTTGGCAGGTAAGATTTGGGGAAAAGAGAACAGAGAGTAATAATCCCTTGAAACAGAACAGGGAACCTCTGATTTCAACTTAACTGAATGTTGAATGATGGTCCTGAGTTGAACCATCATAAGCTGAGTCACAGACAACTTTGCTTGAAGGTTCTCCTAAACTCTGGTCTTTCGCCCGCTTCCTGAAACACTCAAACATCCTTGGCTCACAGTGCACACTTCTTCCTCTGTTGCCTCACTGAAACTTCTCTTAAATGTTAGAAAAACACGAAAGCTTTAGCTGAAATAGTTGCTGGTTTCAGAGGCACATTGGCTGGCTTCATCGGATCAGGCATTAGCTCATCCCATGTTCCTATCACTACTATCACAGAGACCTAGCACTGGTGTGAGAGTGAGGCAGTTGCAAACAGATACTCTAACAGACTCTGTCCCCCTGGATTCCCACACATGACTCTAGGGGAATGTGGCTTTTCCTTACCTTCAGCTGTTGAGAATCACTGCTCGTGATGAGAACTATTACTGATGTGGAGCCAGAAAGAAGTCCAATAGCCACTGTCTCAGGGAGAAGAGGAGAGCTGGTCACCTCCTTCTTTGTCTCAGTTATCTTCTTGGCCTCTGGCTATACACTTAAGGTCATGTTCAGCCCACCTCGCACCTCAAAAATACCTGAAACAGCTGTTCAGGAAGAAGGGCTACATTTAACTTTCTTCCAACTTGGTTTTCCCATCTGAAAATACAAAGCAAGTATGATACACGGTGAGGCATACTCATATCTCTCAGGTTTTATCATTTTCAGTGGGCTCCACACATCTTCTAACTGCCAGTATCTACAAGCTGGTGCTTGAAGACTTTATCTGAAGCTCTGGAAGCTCACTAGGTCCAAGATAACATGGCAGCTCAGCAGTTCTAGAAATTTAACCACCCTGTCCCCCAGCCCCGAGCTTCCTTCAACCAATGAATGATGGGAGATTATGTGTAAATATCCCAGTAACCTCATGCCTTGGGTGGGATAATTCTGAAGTGTGTGTTTTACACTGTTTCCCTGTAGGTTTAAGCTATAGCTGTCCACTGTGTAGTTGACTTAATAATTCACTTTTTATTGGCTGTCTTCCCCTTCCTGACTCACTTCCTCACTCTCTTGCTGGTATTTCCTTGGATCAATTCCCAAATAAACTACTTGCTCTCAAAAACTTATTTCACGGTTGGTTTCTGAGGGACTCCAAACAAAGAGGATTTTCTAGTGTAAGTTAGCATCATTAAACATACATTACTGAAAAGTCACTAAATGAGAGAGACACCCCCTCCTTTTATTCCTCTGTTTTTATCTGAGGCATTGGGGCTTGAACCCAGAGATTTGTGGGGTGTGCTGAATGGAGCCTCCCCTATGAGAAGCCTGGTATTGTAACAACATGTTCACAGACGTTGGAGGTCTCCTCACTGTGTGTGAGTGTTTGATGAAGGAACATGGGTCACAGTGGAGAGAGAATGGTCAGATGCTGAGCTGATGGTGAGGGAGAGAAGCTATGGTTTTCAAGAGTGGTACCCCCCTAAACTGTGTTCCCTGGTGTTCTGGGAGATGTTTAATAAAACAGAAACCCCAAAATAAAGTTCCTCTGGTCAAATACTTGGGAAGTGCTGGATCAAGCAGAGGCTATGTTATGGTAGGACTTCTCAGGACCTTTAAGACAAAGTACATTGTGATTTCCTGGGGGAAGTATCATGTATATGGTGTTTTCCAAATCTCTCTGGCCATAGACTTTTTGAGGAACCAAACTATTTTCCCAAACTGTCTTCAATGTCAATACCCCATTGAAAATAGTTGGGGAAGTGATGATAGAGAGATATGTACTTTCCCTTTCTCGCACCTTTCAATCACGAGTGCTTTGAATTGAATTTTGGCCTCCATCTGAGTGACTGAAATGTCTGTTTTCTCTTGTCTGTGAAGCTAAGGGTTGAAGAGGGGATGTTCCTCCGTATTATATTTAAGGTGCCATAATCATTACAAGATGCAGCAATTAATTGCTTGGTCTTTGCAGTCTCCAGACTGCTTTCCCACATATTAATCCTCATAACAACCCCAAAGGTGGGTCATATGCATTCTTATTTAATAGGTAGGAAACTAAAGTTCAGCGATTTCCCCAGGACCACTTAGTGGTACATCTTTGCAGGAAAACTGCACTTTGAAGCAAGCAGCACAAGCGAAGGACTCTTACTTTCTCTACATTGTCTGAAGTTTGAGTAAAGATTCAACTAATATAGTAGGCGTTTCTAAGACTTTGGGGTTAGGGAAGAGCTCATTGGATCAGGCCAAGAAAGACAAAGAGGAAAACACATCAATTCTCAGAGCATGATATATGGGTTTCCTCCAGGTGGTCTGTGGGCTGGTTCTATCACAGCCCAGAAGTAGATGGGATCCTGGATAAGATCAGGGTTTTCAAAACAAACACTGGATTTGGATTTTGGCTCTATCATTTACCAGCTGTGTGACTTTGGGTGAGTTACTTAACAATCTGAACCTAATTTTCTTATCTGTAAAACAGAATAATAATTCTCATGGGGCTCCTGTGAGGATGAAATTAACTAATGTACCTAAAGTTCTTCACAGGGGAAGTATCTAGCATGTGGCAGAAATGATTAAAAAAAAAAGTTAACTATTATTAGTAGCATAGTAGCCATAACTTACATTTTCGCATGAATTAATGTTTTAACAAAAAGAAAACATCATTTATGTTGTTATCGTACTGGAAACAGAGCTGTTTCTAATGACTTCTGGCAGTAGGTTTTTTAAAATTATTATTGTTTCATTTTGGTTTTATTTTGTGTGAAAATAGGACTGCCTGTGATAGGTCTTCGTGATTTTTTTTCCTCTCTAACTGAATATGCCATTGATACTCCCTAACACTCTGTCTCGTCCCCTGAAAAAGAACAAATTGAGAATGAATGGAACCACAGCTCAGAAATCTGAGCACTTCCCATTTCAACTTTTCTTGGAATAATTTGATGAAAAGCCTGTGCTATGGTTTTCAATGGCATGGGGATGCCCATCTTCTGTCCCTACCCCTAAGCTCCTGAACATGATTTATATTTCCCTATTTTAAGCAGGTACCGATTTATGAGACTTTAAACACTGTAGTTGAAGTTATTGGAGGTTTAAAGGGATTAAGCAGATCCAGCGGCACCGGGAGATATAGAGGTGGTCGAAAAGATTTATCAGCATTTCTATGTTAAAAACCACTTTTCATGGACTGTCATAGCCTGGGTCTGAATCTATTTATTTGGGCAGAGGAGTGAATTTTTAGGATTTCTCTCAGATGGAAAAAAATCCACCCCTCTATGGCTTCCAGCTTTGTTTTGGGGGACTGTGTCTCTGCCCTTCTCTTCTTCATCTTTCACATCCAGCTTGCTCTGTCTTCTCTGGGGTTCCCCTTCTCTCTGGTCCTGTCTTCTCTTAAGTGCCTGAACTCTTGGGATCCCTTTGTGTTCATGTATTCACAAGCTCAGCTCTGACCCATGAACCTAACAGCAGCTGGAGCGAGCTGACCCTTCAGAGCAGGGCTGTGGTGGGTAATGGATGGCTGCGGGGGTGGGAATGCCTCATGCCACAGGGGTGACAGATCCCTGTGTTTACACCAGAGGGTGCAATGATTCCGTGGCTGAGAGGGGCTGGCTGGAGCCTGAAGTTTCCAAATAAAATGCCCATTCAAGGCAAAGCAGGCAAAATTCCCAGACAGTTAGGTTTTGGAGAAGCCATATTGAGCGACACTGAAAATAGGTTCAGGGCACAAAGTGGGCACGCACTCTTGGTTATAGTCTACCAGTTCTGGGAAGAGCCAACATACTTCTCTTTGCCAGTAATTATTTTCATCAGCCTCGGCTTGTTACCTCTCAGGTTTCCTCCAAGTCCTAGCTATGCCCACCCTGTCAAATCAGCGTGGGTGCTGGAAAGATGAACTCATTTTAACAGCCTGAACCAGACATTGCGGGGAAGGAAATCAGAGAAGCTATTCCAAAGTCGAGTAAAAATAACTTTTGTTGAGTACCTACTCTCTGATTCCACTTACATGAAACCCTAGAAAGGACAAATCTAATCTATAGTGACAGGAAGAAGGTTGATGGTTGCCCGAGGCCAAAGTAAGGGAAGACTGATGGAGATGGGGCACGAGAGAAGTATTGTGATGTTGGAAATGTGCTTTGTTTCAATTACGGTGATGGTTGCCCATGTATATAACATTGTAAAAACTCATTAAAATGTGGGCTTTTTAGGGTGTAAATTATACCTGGATTTTAAAAAAATGTATCTGCTGTGCATTCACAGTCCTTGCCTCCTCTCTTAGCACAGACAATGGAAAGCTGAGAATAAATCTTAGAATGCTCCCCCATCCATGGAAGGTTGTTCAACCAGCCAAAGCTGTGTATTCATACGGGGCATAGGGCTAATCTAGAGCAGTAGATAAACACCTAATCAGTTATAATTGACTATGGAATGTTCTCTGTGCCTTTACCTTCCCTGAATACAACCTGACTGACAGAGGCAGCAGGGAGCAAGCAGCCAAGAAATGCGGTAGGGGAAGCCAGATTAAACAATTACCAGGGAGAGGACAACAAAAGAGTGAATGACCACGCAGATGATAAAGAATTTTTGACTTTGTAACATGAGCCGTGCATTGTATGAAAGTGTAAAGGGTTTGGTGAATTGAAGCAGATGCTCATTAGAAATCAAACCAACCACACCGAATGGTCTTGGCATCTGGATAACAGGAGGTCTTCAACAACTCCATCTTTTCCACATCTCTAATTAAATTTTTGATATTGCTTAGGTCAGGCACAGTGCCCTATTCATTCTGACATCCAAATATCCATTTTAAAGTTGGCCAGGCTAACCCAAAGGATGATGTAACTAGATCGAGAATGGGATTAAGATTTAGGACACTGGATTTTTGTCCCTGCTGTGTGACCTTCTTTAAAAAATCACTTTATTTGCTCACTTATTTATTCAATAAAATTTTTGACTACCTACTACAAATCAGGCTGTTGGCAAGACCCTGGGGATACATGGCTCTAGGCTTTGCTTGCCTCATTTGTAAATGCTGTTCTGGGGTCCCTGCAGTGTCCTACCACTGTACTGACAGATGGCACGGGCAGTGATGTGGTCAAACTCTGAAAACCATGATGCTGTGCCTCAGTGATAAGCTGCCCAGAAGGAACAACAAAGGGAGGGGTCCCTAGCTTCTCTGGTCTGTATATTTGCAGAAGGTAGTTCTACACCACTTAAAGCATCTTTGCCATGAAAAGTTCCATGGAAATAAAATTAAGCGTTTTAGTTTTGTTTGTCAAAAAAATGCTCTTAAAACCCTCTAAGATAGTTTTAAAATTAATTCCTTATTGCTTCAAGGCACAAACTCACATATAGTTACAAATGAAGTTAACATTTGATCTAGTGCAGGGAAATAGACCAAGGCTTTTCTCCAGTCTTTCTCCCTGATTTGCAGTGTTCCCAATCCCACCCACCCTCTCCCCAAGCAAAATTTAGGAGGAAATGTCTTCTCTTGTCGAAGTCCTTCTCACACTTGCCGTTCAGTGCCCAAGACCTGTTCTCGTTCAGTGCCTCGAATCAACTCTCAGAAAGGTCTGAGACAGAGATTCGAATTCTGCTCTGTGACAATATATGACACAGGGAAAGTTCCTTAATCTTTCTGTGCCTTGGATTCCTCATCTGGAAGTGGGAATAACAATATCTACTTTGAGTTGTGCAGTTTAAATAAGATAATGGATATAAAAAATACCTAGCATAGTGTCTAGCCAATCATAAAAAACCAGTCAATGGTTACTCAAGTCTAACCACTTGAGTGGTTTCTATTTCCAGATAGAAACTTCTGGAGTTTCTATCTCCAGAAATGAAGTCTGGAGATAGAAAAAGTCCACCATAGACTAAGAAGTATTCCACCAATTCTCAAAATGGAGGAACCAGGACCTTCAGCCTTTGTTGCATTGATAACTACCAAAGGACCTTCAGACCACTAAGCTCAGTAGAACATATTACAGTTGTCATTGGTATTTATGGGCTATTGTTTCCAGGACCTTCACAAACCCCCAAATGTGGGAATGCTCAAATTCTTTATATAAAATGGTATAGGATCTGCATGTAACCTATGCACATCCTCCTGTATACTTTAAGCCATCTCTAGAGTATTTCTGGGGCTTCCTTGGTGGCTCAGTGGTAAAGAAGCCACTTGCATTGCAGGAGCCACAGAAGAAGGGGGTTGGATCCCTAGGTTGCAAAGATCCCCTGAAGGAGGACATGGCAACCCACTCCAGTATTCTTGCCTGGAGAATCCTATGGACAGAGGAGCCTGGCAGGCTACAGTCTATGGGGTCACAAAGAGTTGGACACCACAGAAATCACTTTGAATGCACATGCATGCAGAGTATTTCTGATACCTAACACAATGTAAATACAATGTAAATAGCCATAAATACAATGTAAATATCTGTAAATACAATGTAAATGTGATATAAGTAGTTCCCAGCATGTGGCAAACTCAAGTTGCTTTTTGGAATTTTTTCTAAAATCTTTTCTGCATATTTTGGTCCACCATTGGTTGAATTCATGGATGCAGAAACAACCAATAAAGAGGAGCTGCTGTATAAAGAAATATTTCCTTGCAATTTGACTGAAGCTTTTTAAAAAAACCATTTCTTAGAATATTGACATACCTTGTTATAGGGGTGTTTGTGAGATACTCCACTATGCCTCCTTTTGTGTCATGTAAGCTCTTTTTAAAAAAAATTTCCTTAAAAATTAAGAAATAGACATTGTCCTTGAATTTCCTGTGGATATAGAGAGCCAGCTGTGTCTGCCTGGGAGAAGAGTTGACATTCTGAGAGAGAAAATAAGCCATCATATGCCTTTGACCCAAGAGTGAGAGAGTTTTTCTCTTTAATCTGCTATCCAGCCATAGGAGGAATGCATATGGAACATTGACTGAGAAAAAGTCACATCCCCACTAGCTGCGATGGCTACATCAGCAAGCCACAATCAGATTACCTCCATACTCCCCCAGGGAAGGTTGACATCTCCTGGCCCTTTCCAAAAATGGCACTGTTCCACCCAATAGTCAAAAATCTGTGTCAGGAAGATGGCTGAGAACCTGAAGATAGAGTCTGCCTGCTGATCCAAGAACAACAGACAACTGGCTCAGGCTATGATTAAAGCCGGTTGGAACTCACAGCCGGCAGAACAATGACCACATTCATGAACTGAACTTCTGCTTACTCTCCTATTCCAAAGTCCTTCATCTTCCCTCCACATGGACAGCCAGCTGTGCGGAGAGATTTGTGCTGTTAGCACCTGGAAGTGTTGGAAGGACTTGATTCCTGTGTAATAAAATCTAACTTGAAAGACTTGAAAATACAGTTAAAGGATGCAAATCTACTTGTAATTACTGCGAGCCCCCCTAAAAGCTGACTATATTGTAGGGCTCCATCTGAGTAGCAGCCACATGTGTCTTTTTTACTGCTTTATATCCAGTATTAAGCACAGAGTTTCTTGGATAACCAATCATCTTGGTTTGCCTGTGGCTCTCTGGTTTTAGCACTAAACATTCTGCATCTCAAAAGCCCCTCAGTCACAGGCAAACTGGAATGATTGGTCATGCTAGGCTACACATATAGTGAGTGAAAGTCACTCAGTTGTGTCCGACTCTTTGCGACCCCTTGAACTATACAGTCCGTGGAATTCTCCAGGCCAGAATACTGGAGTGGGTGGCCATTCCCCACTCCAGGGAAAATTCCCAATCCAGAGACTGAACCCAGGTCTCCCTCATTGCAGGTGGATTCTTTACCAGTTGAACTACCAGGGAAGCCTATACATACAGCAGGTACTTAAAATTTTTTGACAAAGGAAATAAATAAGTAGTAGAAATATAAAAGCTGGATTAACTGCTATAGATAGGGGTCTACCTTCAACAGACACTTCTCTGAGTTTGAGTTTGTTAAAACCAGCACAGTATTTTGATGGTATATAGGCCCAGTCTTCAGTTTTAAATACCACCTCATTTTTGTTCCTTTTTTAACTTTAGTCTATACTTCTGGCCCATTAGTCAGCAACAGGCCGTGCAGTTTCAAAACTGTCAAATATGGTCAAAACATGGCTAGGATTTCTAAATTCAGTTTTCCATTTGGTAACTTTTCCTCCCTATATACAGAGGCCAGATGTTTTAACATGATCCATAATATACATGTGGGAAGGGAGGAGCAGTTCTCCAGTCAGAGTAAGTCAACAATCCTTCATTGAGTGACTGCTCTGGGCAAGGTGATGGGTGCCACAGGGCATTCAAAATGAGTAAAGAAGATCCTTGCCCTTAGCAAATCTCAATGTGGGAGTGGGATGGTATGTATGAAAAAACACTTGTAATTATTTATCATGTGACGCACGCTTGATATATGCATGCAACTTCAATTATTTTAATTGTGCCCCATGTCACCGTATTAGGGAAAGAATGAGATTAATCTTGAGATGTTATGAAATGCCTTCTCAAGGAGGTGGGATTTAAGGTGGGTTTTGAAGGAAGTATAGGTCTTCAAAGGTAGTGCTTCCTAGGCTTCCCAGGTAGTGCTAGTAGTAAAGAACATGCCTGCTAACACAGGAGGCATAAGAGATAAGGGTTTGATCCCTGGTATGGGAAGATCCCCTGGAAGAGGGCACGGCAACCCACTCCAGTTTTCTTGCCTGGAGAATCCCATGGACAGAGGAGCCTGGTAGGCTATGGTCCATAGGGTCACAAAGAGTTGGACACAACTGAAGCTACTTACCATGCATGAAGACTCATTACCTAAACATGCTCATTGTTGTTGCTTGATTGCTCAGCCATGTCTGACTCTTTGTACCCTCATACCTGTAGCCCGCCAGGCTCCTCTGTTGAAGAATACCGGAGTGAGGGTGCCATTTCCTATTTCAGGGATCAAACCAGCCTCTCTTGTATCTCCTGCACTAGCAGGCGGATTCTCTACCACTAGCACCACCTGGGAAGCCTGCCTATAGGACCTCACCTATTAATAAATGACAGAGTGTTATTCTCACTTAACAAGAAGTCCAAGGCAGATGCAGCAACTTCAAGGTGTCATCAGGGTCTCAAGCTCCTTTTCTCCTTAGCCTTCCCATCTTTAACCTTCCTATCCTTAGCCTAAGGCTTTGCTTGTCGCATGCTCCCAAGATGGTTGTTCTATCTCAAGCCTTCTATTTGTGGGCTAGGCGGGAAAAAAGAAAGGAAAGGAAAATGGACAAAGGAGAAAGGCACATGGGAGAGAAAGGAGGCCCTGTGTGACAAGGGCAAACACTTTCCTCAACTCCCTGGCAGATTTTCTCTGAGTTGCATCTCAAGACAAGAAATGGGTTTCATGGCCACCCCTAGCTGCAAAGGGGTTGGGGACGCTGCACATTTTAGCTGGACACACTGACCTTCTGGATAATATTGCAACTGTCTTAGTAGGGAGAATGGATTTTGGGTAGGTAATCAGCAGTGTTTGTGCCTTTGAACAGGAACCTGGAAATGGGGACAGGGCAGGGATTGCTGGATAATTGAGAGGATGAAGAATAGAACCTTGTGCCTAGAATCATGTGTGTGTGTGTGTGTGTGTGTGTGTGTGTGTGTGTGTAAGTGTGTGTGTACACCTGCATCTGCAAGGAACAAAATGGAGTGGGTTGGTTTCATGGAGTTTGGGGAGGAATAATCTGAAGAAGATAAGATTGGAAAAATATGAGCCAAAATGCAGGAGACTTTTTTTACTTTTGCCTGACTCTTTCATTTGTTTGCAGATTCTCCAGAAGAGTGTAAATGTTTCAGGTTTCATGGGAATAGAATTCACCCTTTACTCCCGGCCTTTTTCCTCTCCAGACTCATGTTATCAAGTGCCTTGGATAGAGATATTGAAAAATACCACGTTCAAACTTGTACCCTCATGTTAGTATCAGAAGAAGATAATGAAAATATTTAAACCATTTTCTTTTCCTAAATTCCCCTGTTATCCATACTTCAATTTTATATTGCTATTCATATATTACATTGATCGATTCCTTTAATTCCCTTGAGCACCAAACTGTATCAACCTTTTTACCATGAAACAATTGTGATTTTAGTAATATACAAAATGTGATTTTAGCATTGCTAAAATATTAATCAGGAAAAATTCATATACAGAAACATAATGCTTATCAGAAATACGTATTTCTCTAATAATTTCTGATTAGCATTTAACAATGCTAAATTTGTATTTCACACACACACATATATACATACACATTTTTCCATATATAACCATCTTTTTGAAAGATTTGAGATTTCTTTTGTATCTTGGTACAGTCTTGCTTTGGTCACTCTCTAAGTTACAGTTCTGAATAATTTTCTCGTTTCTTGGCTCTAGCCTTGGTTTCTTTCAGGATGATAGTTTCTGAAGATAACTCTAAGCATCAAGAATAATTGAAGAATCAGGAAAACTTTACTAGTGTTAGAGGAAGTTATGAGATTATTACTCTAAGTCAGGAGTCAGCAAATCTTTTTCTTGTAAAAGTCAGATAGTAAATATTTCTGACTTTGTGGGTCATAGGTCTCTGTCACAACAACTTAGTTCTGCTCTTATTCCACAAAAGTAGACATAGACACTAAATAAAAGAATGGCAAGGCTGTGTTCCAATAAAACTTTATTTACAAAACCTTGCTCTAAGTGAACAGCAGGAAAACGTTATCTCCCGTTCTCTGTATCTCTTCTCACCTCTCTTGCACTCTCTCTCCTATCTTATTGTCTTCTTACCATCATCTTTCTTCCACCTTTGTCTTTATCCCATTTCCATCCTGATCTTTCTGTTTCTCACTTTTTTTCATCTTGATTCCTTTCTTGTCACTTGCTGCGAGACATATCCCCAGGGATGCTTAGCAGGTCCTCCTAGCCTCTGAGATGGCATCAGAGAGGAGACTTTACTCTCCCCTGAGTCCACTTAGTGACACAGAGAGGCTCCTGGGCTGACTGGGTTAGGTGTCTTGTCACTTCTTAAGCACCTCGTAACTCTTCCTGGGTGGCTTCAGATATACTTTGGTTTATTAGCTCTGGAATTTCTTCTGGCTTCCTTTGGACTTGAATCTCTGAACTGTCTAAAGGGGTCTTTCTCTTAAAATGTCAGTGGAACCTGAGGGATATTTGAATGCGCTTTTGTCTTTTTGAGTTCTCTGCTTTACACAAGAAAGGCAAGGCGGACAGGAATATGCGTGTGGTGTCTATGAGGGCAACTTCCTTAGGGCCTGGAGGAAATCTGTATCACCTTACCTGTTGCAGCTTTGCTCATGCAAGCACGCTTTTTGGCCACCATATGCTTTCCCCAAAGACAGGATGAGAGGGAATGAGTTTCAGTTGCAGCAGGAAAGATGAGGAGTAGAGGTCAGGATGAACTTTGGTTCTGTTACAACTGTATATCAAGCAAGTCGAGGACCGGGGGATGTCCTGGCGTTCCCTTGGAATTGTTAAAAGAACAGGACAGATTACTTCCTATGTTCACTCTAAACAGAAAATGGTGTGACAAAGGAAACAGCTTTGTGTTAGAAATTTCCTGTGCAGTATGGACAGAGGGCTGGCAATCAAGATTTGAGGCCCAAATATCTCTCATCAGCTTCCTTTATGCAGACCAACTCTCAGGATGGTGGCTGATCCCTATAACAGAGAAGAGTGTCCGCCCTTCCAGTTTCTGTGATGTTGCTCATAGTTTTCCAGCCTCAGAATTTTTGATCTCCCTGTTCTTTCTCTGTGGGCTTCCCAGGTGGCTCAGATGGTAAAGAATTTGGTCGCAATGCAGGAGACCCATGTTCAATCCCTGGGTTGGGAAGATCCCTTGGAGAAGAAAATGGCAACCCACTCCAGTATTCTTGCCTGGAGAATCCCATGGACAGAGGAGTCCATGGAGTTGCAAGCATCGGACAAGACTGAGTGACCAACACTTTCACTTTCTTTTCTCAGCTGTGTCCTTCAACTCTGCACAGCTAGCTCCGTTTTGAAAAGCAAAATGAAATGAATGTTTGGACACTTGACCAAGCTGTCTAACTGTGGTCTTATTTTCTTTTCTCACTGTCCAAACTGCATGAACAGATGATTTGGCTCTAATTCTCCCATCTTCTTTCCACAGGCTGGCTCCCTTCTTATCTACAGATGGGTTCCACCCTTCAGTTTGCTACCTCATCACATACTTTCTCCTGCAATCGAGTTCTAGCCTCCTCTTTCTCTCTCAAAAGTGAATTGAAATCTACCACTTGCCCAAATCCTGTCTCTGTGTTCCACTCTTGGTTGTCCCTCACTCA